TTTGGGAAAAGAAATGAAGTTTTATTATACACATATGCTGTGGATTGAATTGCATCCTCCTGAAAGATATGTTGAAGTTCTAAGCCCTGGTACCAGTGCATGTGACCTTATTTAGATATAGAGTCTCTGCAGTTGTAATCAGGTTAGGATGAGGTCATTAGGAGGACCCTAATCCAGTGTGACTGACTTCTTTATAAGAAGAAGAAAAGAAATACAGACACACAAAGAGAATGCCTAGTGAAAACAGAGGGGCAGGGGCTCAGGTGATTCATCTGCAAGCCAAAGATTGGTGGTGACATCAAATTGAAGAGAAAGCCACAGAACAGACAGATGCTCCGCCTCCAAGAAAGCACAGCCCTACTGCCTTCCTCCAGACAGAAACGGGAAAGAATACATTTCTGTTGTTTTAAGTCACTCCGTTTGTGGTGATTTGTTATAACAACCCTAGGAAATATGTAATATAATATAATATTAAAATAGAAGATTCCAAAAGGTCAAACATTTACGTGTTCAAAAATAAAGCATGAGAAAATACATTGAAGAGCATCGTTTGAGGAGCAGAAAGCCTTTGTTATCTTAACACTAAGATCTGAACTCACAAAAGAAAAGATTGAACAGCTGACTACATTAAAAACACACATTTCTGTATAGCTCACAAAAACGAATGAAGTTAAAAGAAATAGTAGAAGTGTGTTTGCCACATATGACAAGGGGCTTACATGCACAATTCATAAGGGCTCCTATAAATATAAAAATGCAAATAACATATATATGAATGAACGACTAGACAAAGTACACAAGAAATTCAAATGGCGCTAGGCGTGGTGTCCTCAGGCCTGTAATCCCAGCACTTTGGGAGGCCGAGGGGGGTGGATCACAAGGTCAGGAGATCAAGACCATCCTGGCCAACATGGTGAAATCCCGTCTCTACTAAAAATACAAAAATTAGCTGGGCATGGTGGCGGGTGCCTATAGTCCCAGCTACCCAGGAGGCTGAGGCAGGAGAATGGCTTGAACCCAGGAGGCAGAGGTGGCCGTGAGCCGAGATTTCGCCCCTGTACTCCAGCCTGGAGACATGGCGAGACTCTGTCAAAAAAAAAAGAGTTCAAATGACAATAAAACACGTAGAGAGTTGTTCTGTTTCACTGATAATGAAATAAACAAAATTAATATTAGATATATAATTTAACCCAAATCATACTGGCAAAGATGAATTAAATTGAAAGCATCTGACACCGACAGGAGCAGCTCCCACACGTCCCAGTCCAAAAGGACCTAGGTATGTGAGCTGCAAGGTCAAGGGTGACTCAGCAGATCTGATTTGACCAAACCCTGCACACAGCCTTGATCAGCTCCTAGGAGATCACCTCTGAGTCCTTGGAGTGTCCCTCCTGATAAGGGTGGTTTTGTGTGTCTGAGGCCTTGGGCCACAACCTTAGTTTACGCCAACAGTGTGATTTGTGATGAATGCCTGTTCGGAGGCTCTGGGCCAGTGCTCTATTAATTTCACCTCTGTTGGTCTGGGGTTCGAGTAACCAAGGTCAGTCACGTGGGCATTGCATGCCTATGTGACTGACCCCAGTGAAAACCCTGAACACCAATGCACAGGTAAGCTTTCACGGTCGCCTCCAGTGTGCCGTGACGCATCGTTGCTGAGGGAAGTAAGCACTATCCATTTAGAGCTTGTGCTGGTCTGTCCTGGACTCTGCTCTGTGTTCCTTTTCCCTTTGTTAATTTAAATCTGTATTTTTTTTTTTTTTAAGACTCAGTCTTGCTCTTGTCGGCCATACTGGAGTGCAATGGCACAATCTTGGCTCACTGCAACCTCCACTTCAAATAGCAATAAAACATGTAGACTTTTGTTGGGTTCAAGTGATTCTCCTGACTCAGCCTCCTGAGTAGCTGGGATTATAGGCGTATGCCACCACGCCCGGCTAATTTTTGTATTTTTAGTAGAGACGAGGTTTCACCATGTTGGCCAGGCTGGTCTCGAACTCCTGACCTCAGGTTATCTGACTGCCTCAGCCTCCCAAAATGCTGGGATTACCGGTGTGAGCCACAGTGTCCAGGCTAAATCTGTATTTTCAAAGTATAAGCACAAGTCTAATAGCCTTTCTTACTGCTGTGAGTCCTGCTAGCGAATCGCCAAACCCAAAGGCAGTTTTAGAATCCCCTTCACAAAGGTCTCTTTGGGCGACGCTGGAAGCTGAGTTTGCACAGCACTGTACATAGTGCCTAGAGAACCTGCGTTACTCAAATGAAAGAACAGAGGAGGCTGGGCTGAGAGGGGGTGTCGTCAGGGCCCGGGGATTGCAGCCCTTCTGGGTACTTATGTCGGTCTGCACTCGGGTGGAATATAGAATGACTGGCTAGTGCCCTGGGCATGGCAGGGACCCCGAAGCCCTCAGGCCTGGCACCTGCACCCGTGAGCTCTAGCCCCAGTCCAGTGTGAGGCAGAGGCAGCACCAAAGGGAAGTGTTCTTGGGCACTGGGCGCTGGAACTGGTGACGGATGTGCTCTTCCCCCACATCCTAAGGAAAACAGCTGCGACTCCACTTGATGCACGGTGCTGGGCAGCCCGTGGCGGGGTGTGGGCATCCTACCACAGGTAAGGCCAGGCACGCAGCTCGGAAGTGTGTGATGTGAAAGTGATTTTCCTCTTACTGTGCCCTGAATGGTGTAACCCCCCAAATGCATACGCTGAAGCCCTAACCTCCTAATGTGACTGTATTTGGAGACAGGCCTTTAAGCAGGGAATGGGAGTGAAACGAGGCTATTAGGGTGGGCGCTGATCCACCAGGACTGGGGTCCTTAGTTGAAGAGGACCGGACAGCAAGCACACTGGGGCAGAGGAAAGGCCGGGTATGGATGCAGCAGGAAGCAGCCACCGCAGCCAGGGAGAGAGGCCTCGGCAGAAACCAGCCTGCCCTGCTTTGGACTTCTAGCCTCCGGGACGGCGAGAAAATCACCCGTGTGCTGTGAGCCTCCCAGTACGTGATACTTTCTTAGGGCAGCCTTAGCAAACGAACAGAACTTGGAGATGGACACAGACTGCTCCCATGTGCTCCCCGGTCCCGCAGCCCTCATCTTTGCCCCTGCTCTCGCGAGTGGCCTGTGGCTGTGCAGTCCTGACGGCAGTAGCGCTTTGGAAGCCGCAGCTTCTCTCCTGCGGGGCTTCCAGGTGCACAGGGAGGCGGAGCCTCTCGGAGCAGACTCATGGGCAGAGCCCTCCCAGCTCCATCTCTGCCTCCCATCAGGGGACAGTCACAGCCAAGACAGGAATGTCGCCCCCCAGCTGGCAGACAGCACTCTGAGAAGCCTGGCCTGGGAGCCTCTGACCTGCCCGCTACTTCGGGAGGCCAGTGTCCCCACTGCCACCTCACATTCTGGGGACCCCGGACTCCAAACCTGCCAGTGCTGGAGAGGGTAGCTGGAGGCATTTAAAACACAGGTGCTGGGAAACAAATCTCTGATGGAGTGGGTGGGGAAAGGGATGGGGGACCTCGCGTCCTAGGTCCTCTGCGGTTTTCTGATGGACTCCCTTCTGTGGGAGCGCTGGCTCAGGGAGCTCCTGGCCTCTCCTCCTCTACCACTTCCTCTGCCACCCGCCTCCACCTGTTCCCGCCCTGATGTCCACCAAGTCAAGTGTGCAGTAGTCCCACATCCAGGCTCACTGCGGAGGCAGCCCTTTTCAGACAGGAGGCACAAGAGTGGGCCCCAGCAAGTTAGCTTTTACTTTAATATTATTATGTAATTAGGCTGGGCGCGGTGGCTCACACCTCTAATCCCAGCACTTTAGAAGGCAGAGGGGGGGCAGATCACCTGAGGTCGGGAGTTCGAGACCAGCCTGACCAACGTGGTAAACCTCCATCTCTACTAAAAATATATATATAAACTTAGCTGGGCATGGTGGCGCAGGCCTGTAATCCTAGCTGCTCAGGAGGCTGAGGCAGGAGAATTGCTTGAACCTGGGAGGCAGAGGTTGCGGTGAGCTGAGATGGTGACACTGTACTCGAGCCTGAACAACAAGAGTGAAACTCCTCTAAATATATATATATATATATATATATATATATACACACACATATATATAATGTAATTATGTATATTATTATTATCATCAACATCTTTTTATTCTGCAAATACTTATTTCATGTCCAATATGAGCAGGCTCTGTGCTAGGTAAACTACTAAGTTTTGTTAATGAGGTCAAACCAAATCATGGGTTCTATAAAAAGACAACTATTTTAAAACATGGCATAAATGACATGATATGGTTAAGAGAGTATAAAGACACGACTTGGAACAAGCAAACGTGGGAACGAGGCAAGGAGAACGTCGAGCTTCCTCTGGGAACTGCATCACTAGCTGCGGATGAAACGTTTCTGCACTGGGCAGGGTGTCAGTCCACAGCCCGACTCCGATTTAAATGTGACCAGCTTGGACTTTGAGAGCAGATATCTCGGCGCCCCTGGGAGCAGGTGACGCAATCCTCTCTTTGCACGCCGTTTATAGTTTCTGAGAAGCAGTGACGAAGCTGGCTCTTGCAGTTCGGTCTAATTACTTGTCTGATCTCCTCCAGGGAGATGCAACTCTGTTCTCTCTCGGCCTCCAGACAGTGGGGGCCGCGGTCTCTCCTGGAGGAGTGGGGTTGGCCATTATGGGCCAGGGAGGTGGAGACCCCTCGAAGCTGGTCTGCATTGCAGGGTATGGAGTAGGGCTGGGGGTCCTGGGCCTCCAATCTTTCAAAACCGGCAATAAGGTGGTTTATTGTGAGCCAGGCCTGTCATTCTCTTTTCTCTCTGGAGCCACTGATGAGTCTTCCCCTAAAGAGGGGAGGGTCCCTTTCTCTGACTCCCTTGCAGTTCCTATGAGGCTTCAGAGTAGGGCTTGCAGAGACTCTGCCTCCTGCAGGGAGTGGCCACTGCTTCCAGGGACCCTCCCAGAAGAGGAGCTCATTTCACACTTTGGGACTCCATAGAAGCAGCTTCCTGGCAGTTTGAAGAGTGCTTCTCACACATCTTCCACCAGCTTGTTCATCTGCCTATATCTCAGGATGCTTTAAGCGATTGAAACAAAATTAAGGGTAAGAAGATTAAAATTCATTCTGTGCTTGCTATGAGCCAGATACAGTATCTGGCATGAGACAGATTTTCATTGACATCTGCTCACTTGGGCGAGTTACTTCACCTCTCTGTGCCTTAGTTCCCTTATCTGTACTAATAACTCTAATGGCACTAGTACTTAACCAGAGGGACATTGTGGAGAAAGACACATGTAATACACATAAAAGACTCAGAACAGATCCTGGGCCAGGCAGCATTCAATAAATGTGAGGAGCTATTTCATCTTCCTCCTCCCCATCAAGGTAGATATTTAATCCATTTTACAGATGAAAAGGCAGAGGCCCAGGGAGTGGAGTCTCCCTCACAAGGACCTCCTGAGGGAAGTCCTACCACCTCAATTCAACCCAGCCCAGAGTCATCCTTGACCTCACATTTAGGAAGTAGAAAAGTTCCTTTTTAAAGTTTCCTTTCTTGTTAAAGAATAAGTGTGCTAATAACTTCGTTAAGCCCTATCCTATGTAACTATTAGACATGCCATGCTTACAGACATGTAGTACATTCTATGTCCTTGTACTTTAACCAAGATATCTGTGCTGGACGTGCTCACAGGCATGTCCCAGCTCTCCATTGCTTTCACCTGTTTAGAAAAGTTTTAAGTTCTTAGCCAATTGGGTTTTAGTTTACATTGTGAGGTCTGGTTCCAACCAATGGAGACCAGACACAGCAGTTAGGACGACCCCAAATGGGTTAAATTTGTGTGTTTTCCTTTATTCATTGTACTCTTGTGGCAAGATGACTAGTGAGAGTACCCTTCCTGCATTCCAGGCAATAAAAATTGCATTGCTGAAAGATCCTTTGTCTCAGTACCGATTTTTCTTTGTGGCACCAAGCATCTATTTCCAGCTTCACAGAATCACAGCTCTCCTATCAGGTCCCAGAGGCACTTCTGAAACCTGGAAAATAATTACTACTTCCCTGTGTTACCATTGACTTCCAGATTCTTCCACATAGGACAGTGGCTTTCAAATTCGTTTGGTTTGGTTTGTTTTTCTGAGGCAGGATCTCTCTCACTCTGTTGCCCAGGCTGGGGTGCAGTAGCATGATCATGGCTTACTGCAGCCTCAACCTCCCAGGCTCAAGTGATCCTCCCACCTCAGCCTCCCTAATAGCTGGGACTATAGATGCACACCACCACACTTGGCTAATTTTTTAAACTAATTTTTTTGTAGAATGAGGATCTCCCTGTGTTGTCCAGGATGGTCTGGAACTCCCGGCCCCAAGCAGTCCTCCTACCACGGTCTCCTAAAGTGCAGGGAGTATAGGCCTAAGCCACTGTGTCTGGCCAGCTTTCAGGTTTTGATTGCCTCACTTGGAAAGAAATGTTTCACATCACAACCCAGAACCTACACATATAAACATAGAATCAAGATTTAATGACACAGTACTTTCTTTCACTGTATTCTCTGTACCTGGTATTTTTCCAGTAGGTTTTTTACTGTGTATGTTTTTTGAGACAGGGTCTCAGTCTACCAGAGTTTGAATGCAGTGGTGCAATTTCAGGTCACTGCAGCCTTGGCATTCTGGGCTAGCAATCCCCCCACCTCAGCCTCCCAAGTACCTGGAACTCCAGGCACTCACCACCATGCCCAGCTTTTTTTATTTTTAAATTCTTAAGAGACAAAGTCTCACTATGTTGTCAGCTGGTCTCCAACTGCTGAGCTCAAGCAATGCTCCCAAATTCTTGTGATTTTAGGCATGAGCCACTGTGCCGGCCCTGTTCTATTTTTTAAGCACTGGTTTCAGTGGCCTTGCCTGGCAGTTTAGAAAACACTCACAGCCAGGCACGGTGGCTCACGTCTCTAATGCCAGCACTTTGGGAGGCTGAGGAGGGTGAATCATGAGGTCAGGAGTTCAAGACCATCCTGGCCAACATGGTGAATCCCAGTCTCTACTAAAAATACAAAAGCATGATGGCAGGCACCTGTAATCCCAGCTACTCAGGAGGCTGAGGCCAGAGAATCACTTGAACCCCAGAGGCAGAGATTGCATTGACCTGAAACTGAACCATTGCACTCCAGCCTGGGCAACAGTGCAAGACTCCGTCTCAAAAAAAATAAGAGAGAAAGAAAGAAAAAGAAAACCCCTGGCAAGGTGGAGTGGCCAGTGAGGGGCAAGGGGGTCAAGTGTAATCTGCCCCGGGGTTGTGTGGCACAACCCGAGCAGCCTGTTCAGGCGAGACTCCAACACTCCGCCTGGGTGTCCTGGGTGCAGCTTCTTAAGCACCCCCGTGCCCCAGGGGAGCTGCTCCATCCCCTGCTCTGAGACTTAGAGGGCTCCTGGTAGGCACAGAGGGAGGTTTAGTGAGAAGCTCATCTTCAGGGCCCCAACGATCCGCCAGGCTGGATCACCCAGAGTCACTGAGGCCATTCACAGCACCCCCAAAGATGCATTCCTTTAGCATTTGATCACTCAGAGTCTCCCCTTACATGGGAGGTGCTCACATGCTGTTTGCATGTCGGTGGGGAAGGGCCTGGCGCCATAAGGTTTGAAAACTGACCCTCTGACTAGAGACCCACCAGGGCTAGCCAGGCAGAGAGGAGGAAGAAGGGGGAACTAAAGGGAAATGAGTCGCAGAAAGAGCTGCCCTCCAGTCGTCCTGACTCCCAAGCCTCAGCTGCGGATCTTCCCCAACCCCTTCCTCTCTTCCTGGGGGCACGGCCAGCCTACACCTCCGGGCTTCAGCGTGGCTGTGGCTAAATTCTGGCGCAGTGAATGCTCATGGGCAGTACTTCCCGGCCTGGCCACTGAGGCTCCCACATGCCACAATCTTCCTCTTCAGCTTGAGGCAGGGGAGCCCAGGGACCGTGGTCACCACATGGAAGATTGAGGGGGTCCCACACAGGAGCTCAGGCCCCCAAATCACTGCTTAGATGGGCACCACCTGCTCCTCATGATCACTCATTTTGAACTTCACATGACCGAAATAAACTTATGTTAAGATAATGGAGATTACCCTAACAGGCAGATTTTCGAATTTCTAAACTATCCAAGCTCAAGGAAGTAGAGGAAGGCATTCTCAAATTGAATTTAGCAAGAAGTTACTTTGAAACAGGAAAGACTGTATACCGATTGAACAGAGTCTTTCCAAAATGTATGTCCCCCCGAATCTCAGAGTGAGCCCTTACATGGAAAGAGGGTCTCTGAGAACGTTGTCAAGTTGGGACAGAGCCACTCTGGAGGAGGAGAGGCCCTTATGCGATGATTGGTGTCCTAAAAAAGAGACAAATTTGGGCGGGGTGCAGTGGCTCACGCCTGGAATCCCAGTACTTTTGGAGGCCGAGATGGGTGATCACCTGAGGTCAGGAGTTTGAGACCAGTGGCCAACATGGTGAAAACTCGTCTATATTAAAATGCAAAAATTAGCCAGGCGTGGTGGTGTGTGCCTGTAATCCTAGCTACTCTGGAGGCTGAGGCACAAGAATCACTTGAACCCGGGAGGTGGAAGTGGCAGTGAGCTGAGATCCCACCATTGCACTCCACCCTGGGTGACAGAGAGACTTTGTCTCAAAAAAAAAAAAAAAAAAGAGAGAGAGAAATTTGAACACAGAGACACAGACACATGGGGAGAAGGCCATGTAAAAACACAGGCAGAGATTGGAGCTACAAACTAAAGACATCAGGGATGTCTGTGACCACCAGCATGAGGGGTGGCAAGAGCTTCTTCCGGGGAGCCTTGGAGAGAGAGCTGCCCAGCCAGCACCTGGCTTCGGGATTTCTGGCCCTCAGAACCGTTAGAGAATAAATGTGTGTTGTCTTAAGCCACCCAGCTTGTGGCACTTGGTTACAGCAGCCCCAGGAAACCAATACACCCAGTAATCAAAGCTTAGTGCAATTTTTAAAAATTGCATTATTTTTAGCCCAGTTCTGGGCCACGTGCTCTTAGGAAGTGATAGTCCTAATTCAATGCTTCCAGCTGGAGGAGACCCCTCCTCCCCTCACCCATCCAGAGAGATCCCCTTGGGGCCAGGCTGCTGGGCAACCTCCAGAACAGAGAAAGTCTTGGCCCAGGAAGAACAGGGTTCTTTATTTTTGAGATGGAGTCTGGTTCTATCACCCAGGCTGGAGTACAGTGATGGATCATGGCTCACTGCAACCTGCACCTCCTGGGTTCAAGCGATTCTCGTGCCTCAGCCTCCCAAGTGGTTGGAACCACAGGCATGCACCACCATGCCCTGCTAATTTTTGTATTTTTCATAGAGATGGGGTTTCACCATGTTGGCCAGGCTAGTCTCAAACTCCTGACCTCAAGTGATCCACCTGCCTCAGCCTCCCAAAGTGCTGGTATTTACAGGCGTGACCCACTGTGCCGGCTGAATGGGGTTCTTCCAGCTGCCAGCTGGGGCCCAGTTGCCCTTGAAGGATAGTGTGGTTCACCCTCTGCTGTGGTCCCTGCTTAAGCCATGACAGGGAGAGAGAAGCCTGAAAGATAGAGACCCTGAAGGCAGATGTAGGAATCTCAATTCCTGAGGCTGCTCCCGGGACCCAACCCAAGTGGGTGGATGTCTGTCAGCCTGGCCACACACGTAGACCAGAACCAGCCAGCTCTCACCAACCTTCACTTCAAGCATTCAGACATACAACAAAGCATGCAGTTGTTGGCTTCTGGAATCAAGTTTGAAAAGCGGAAACCTGTTATAAACCCTTGAGCTAATCAGACTACCTCAAGGAACACTAGGGTGAGTGTTCTTCTCTTTTTTTTAGACGATGTCTCGCTCTGTCACCCAGGCTGGAGTGGAGTGGCACTATCTCGGCTCACTGCAACCTCACCTCCTGGGTTCAAGCGATTCTCCTGCCTCAGCTTCCTGAGTAGGTGAGATTACAGGGGCCTACCTCTATGCCCTGCTAATTTTTAAAAAAAATTTTAGCAGAGATGGGGTGGTTGGCCAGGCTGGTCTTGAACTCCTAATCTCAGGTGATCTGCTTGTCTTGGCCT